AGAGTATAATGTGTAAGCACAGCTTTAGTATGTGTAATTGTGCAAACCTCTCCCATTGCGCGTACACAAACAGATCCTTCTGGGTGTGGCAGAGATGTAGCGTCTTGAGTTTGTGCAGGAAAATCAGAATGAGTAAAAGAGTAAGTGGAACTACGCAGTCTGCAGTTAATCCATTAAGGTCTGTGACTAGGAGGGGTTTAGGGAGGAGAAGCTGGGCTGAAGAGAGGGCAGGAAGAGTTCATGACAATTAGCCAGCTCTCTGCTTTCAGAATTAGCAGGTTGGAAGCACAGGATGAAAATACTTCTGAGGTGCAGGCCTTACATCTCCAGCTGTACAACAGAGACTGTGTGAGAGTGTGACACGCTCCATGAATAAAATTTTTGTGTATGCCTAGAATCAGCTGTCCTTTTTGTGTGTGTTTATGGATAAGAGCCAGAGCCAATAAGCGAGATGGGGCTTCACATTGCTGACAGTGTGGCTGGCCCTGCTGGGTTATAGCCACAAAAGCTTTTTAACTTTCAAAATGTTGCAAAAGGAAAGAAATATCATTTATCTGCTTAAAAACGATTTAGCGATCAGTCATCGTCTAAAAGGCCAAATAATGCATCCAATCAAAACTAGGCACTTTTTGTGCAAAGTATGACAAAATGAAAATGCAATTAAAAAGAGTAGCCCGTTTAGTTATTAGCATTAATTGCTTTTTTAAATTTATCCAGTGCTGCATTGCAGTTTATGTGCGCTAGACATAAACTGTACATAAAGACAGCCCAGATCCACGAGATAATGAGCTGTACTGTAATATCCAATCTGGAGAGTATCTCAACATGAATGCCCTTGATAGAGTATCTTAACCACTCCCCCCATCTGTCCACGCACAATATTATAATGCTCAGTGTATGTCCTTAAGTATGGCAGCAACATGGCTCCGTCTTTGATATGCGTCTGTGTACAGAAACTGCACGCACTCCATAACACCGCGCACGGGAAAGAACAGATTGTGTTTATAGCTGGTAGTCACTTTCATTGCCTTTTAAAATCATTGTCCTGTAGCGCAATCTAGCAAAATGACACACAAAGCAAGACAACTGCGAGGGACTATTTTCACTTTCAAATCATATTCTCATTTAGAGAAAAGGTTATTTGGTTTATATTACAGTGGAGAGAAAAACAACCTCCAAACACTGTCTATTATGAAATAAGAAAATTATCACCCACTTTATTTTACTGCCTCTACACACTGGCAGTTAAAAGTTGACAAAACACATAGACAATTTTTTTTTTTTAAAAATAGGCGTGATTTGTATGCAAGTCACTGCCATAGATTTGACTTTCTACTCCTTACCGTAGGGAATTAAAATGCAACAATAAAAACACAGTTTGGTCAAGAATATTAAAGGCTGTTGGGTGGAGAATGTCTTTTCCTGGGTCCTACCCAAAGCCTTTATTAAACTCAAAGGTCAGCGCAGGAGGATAAAAGATGGATAGAAGACGGAGGGTTTGTTGCCTGTACTATTCAGCTGCAAATTTTGCTTCTCTCTGCTCTGTGGCAGAAAAGATAAAAAGCACATCACAAAGGAAGAGAGACAGAGACGCACTTCTATTTTAATCCATTTTCATTGTGCTTCATTCTACATTACTCTGCCTCTCTTATGTTATGTACCGTGTGATCGGTACAAATCTCCAGACTGCAAGTGCCAGCATATTTTTTTATTCTATCTGAAACAATAGTGAGCTTGTTCAGCCCATCTTTCCCCCTTGTGCACGTGCATGTCTACTGCTCCGACCTAATGGAAGGCGTAGTAAGGTTTCTCATTAGTATGTCGGCCACATGGCTTGGTTAGCTAGCTAGTTGTAGCTAAACAGACAGGTGGACGTTAGGGAAGAAGCAGAGAAACTGGGAAGCTTTAGTTCAGTCCTAACACATTTTTTCCCCCTGTTTTTTTAACAGTGTTTTTTTTTCCACTGTGTTCATTTGGGAGCTAATTTGTCAACCTACTTGAGTGTATGGTTGAAAATCCCAATTTAAAATTGTATAAATACACGTAGTGTTATTTCAGGTGTCAAGGTAGTTATTGTGTGTATAGTGCGTCCCCTGTGTTTTTACAGTAGATTATATATGTAGAATATGGCCCTTTCATGTGTTGCAGAGGTTGTAATTTAGTTTCAGACACAAAAAACTCACACTCAAGTGATTTTCAGTGGATGGTTAGCTTTAAGACCTGAAAATAATAACCCGTGCTGTTATTCTCAAATGCTTTGACATGTCAAAAAGTAGTGCCAGGTGGTCCAGTGGGACTGTAGGTCCCTTGTTGATTAAACAACTGCTTACCACTATTTTTCGAATAAACGTTGTATTTAATCAGTGGCTAGAGACTTGTAACTAACCATTACCATTTTTTAATACTAAACACAATCAATAAAAGCAATTTGCTTTCAAACTTTTCAGATTACATATGTATATTATACTGGAGTCTTGTATCAGGATATATTTTGAGCTGCAAGATGAGGAGATACCTCTCTTAGCTTAATGGATGTCCACTAGTTCCATTAGGTTTGCTGGGCCTCGCATAGCTGAAGGCTAGTTGAAACAAAACAGCAGGAGATTAAGAGTTGACAGCCTCTTATTGCTGCATAGAACACGAGGAAAAACAATACGATAATGTGCTGCGAAACTGATGATGTTTTGATCTCTTGGCAACCCGAGGATATAGCCACTGCGATATCAAATGAGGCTTTATGTTCATCTACAGCATAAGGTGTTTGAATGTGTTATAGAGCGGGAGCCAGAATATGTGTGCATGCAAATATATTATGTGTGCTAATAGGTATAGTAGGGTGTCGAGCAACATGTGTTTCCGTATTTGCATTCTGATTGTACGCATTCGTGTGTATGTGTGTGTTTGTATGTAGCCTGGTTTGAAGCTTCAGCCAAGAATTTCTGCCTGCAAGGTAACTGTGTTAAAGGGAAGCAAGAGCTCCCTCTTCTTGTCTGCCTGAGTTAGAGGCCAGGTGGACAAAATCAACCTGAGGCAGGTTTGGGGCTTGACAAAGACAGTTTAAGCTAGCTGTGCCCCCACCCATTAATATTCATTATTACTAAACTGTAATGAATATTACCATAATTGTCAGAGTAATTGGCAGTATCAGTAATTATGAATTTGATATGATAGCAGCATTTTGATTAAATATGCTCGCTCTTCAACACAGTAAACCAGGGATGTGTGCCCTGCTGCTTAATGGTTAGGTTGTAGTTTGGTTGTAGTTTGTAGGGGGTTTTTTTCTAAGAAGAGTAATTTGGAAGTTTTTTTGTTTTTTGGGGGTGGGGGGGTTGATGAGGCTGCAGTAAAATAACTGTAGAAGAACGGCTTCTGAGGAGGAGGGGGAGAGGTGTACACATGGCTTGACGACTGCAGCAATCGTGCAAATAACCTTGCAGGCGCGCTCGTACTAACACACTCCTCCGTGCACGTGTTAGAGAGCGTGCAACTCGCGCATAATTATCAACAGTGAAGTAGTGCATATATGCGAACACGAAATCTCCTTAAAAAAGCTTCCCTGGCACCTGTCTCCCCGCGCGATGCTTCAATGCCATCCCGCGTCGTGGACCACAAGAGCCTGCCTCCCAGGCTCTCATCCGCGAGCGCACCGCCCCGTCCTCACCTCCGCAGCCAATGGGAGAAGACGCGCGAGATGACTGGACAATCCGTAAATGGCTTTTGGGGGAAAGGTAGACGGTGTTTGCTCGCCGCGAATCTTTTGCTTTCCTTCCTCTTGACGCGGTGTTTGTTTTAAGGGGAGTGCCTTTTTGTGTTTTTGCGCTGGGTGAGGGCTTCCGGGGGCTTTCACACACACAGGCGCGCGCGCGGTTTTGCTTCTGTTTTGTTTTGGGGATTCCTTTTTTTCCTGTAGACTCACTACACCACGACCCCGGTTCATTTATCCCCTTTAAAAAACAAGCCGCTGCTCCTCTGTCCGACTCTCCTCCCTGACTTCGCCGGCTTTTATAGTACCGAGAACACCGACACCGACAGCCCGTCACAAGAATGGTCATGGTGAGTAGATGTCGTAGTACTCGCTTGTGTCTTTATTGTGCCACATGAGCTTTATTTCACTGTGACCATGTAGCCTATCGCAGCGGTAAGATAAATAAATAAATAATAACAATAACAATAATAAAATGTTGGGACAACATTTCTTTGAGCTTCTTACTTTCAAAAAATTAACAAAATTACAACAGTTACCCCGTTTAAAGACGTTTTTTCTCTTGCATTTCTTTGGGATGCACCTGCTTGGACAGGTGTGTGCAGACTTCCCGCGAGTTCGTGTTCGTGGTTTCGTTCTGTTATATTTGAAGCCGTCGTAGGTTTACAGGGTCTAAATCGGCATCAAAGTAATCGAACATTATTTAAAACATAAACTTTACTTTTGCGTGTGCGTAAGTGTCTGCGTGTGAAGTAGGGAGACAGCGATGGCCTGTATGCACACACAGTCGTATAAATGTACGGGGGATTTTAACATGCAACCCAGTAATAGCTAATTTATATACACAGTGCTGCGCAGGCATCCTATTACCATAGCGCCTGAGGCTGTAAGCGCTCTGCTCCGCGCTGCTCACTCAAGCACAGACAGACCTCAGCAGCGATTGATTGCTTTGCTGGGATTCAGAGAGCCTTTTCTCTGCCAAACCGGGCTGCGGCTGGCGTGTGCCGAGGAGGGCTCGGAGCCAGCCAGAGAGCGAAGGTGTTAACACTGATGGAGGGGAGGGGAGGCCGAGGGCTGACGGGCAAGCCGAGAAGCCAATCAGAGACTGTAAAAGAAAGTCGGGAGGGGTGAGTGGGCGTGGGCGGGCTCTGACCTTCCAGCTGAGCAGGCGAATGGGCAGGTGGTTGTGGGAAGGAGGGGAGGGTTGGTGGGGAGAGGGGGTGGGGGCAAGGAGGGAGGGTGGTAGGAGGGAGAGCCTTACTGCAGCCCAGCACTCACATCCATTCTGCTCTCAGCATCTGTGGAAGAAGGCGATGTTTGCGCCGTACACCTCTAGCACGCTGCTCTCTGCTCGCTGCTAAGACTCAGAATCAGGCAGAGAGGAAGAGTGCAGAGGAGAGGCAAAATAAGGAGACTGTGTCAGAGGAGAATAAGAGTTTTAAAAAGAGTAGGGGATTTTTCTTTTCTGAGGCGTTGCTGTAGCTGTTGTGTGAGGAGAGAGAGAACGTGAGACAACGGCCAGCATCTCCCAAATGGAGTGGAATGGGTTTAAGATGGTAAGGAAGGCTACGGGCAGCCTGCCACTATACTTGAATGTACGATGATAACTGCTGGTTAATTTTGAGCATCCTATAGTGAGCTGAGTAGCTTGTAGTTGTAGATATACTGTCCACCCACAGTCAGTCAGAATTATTCTTCTTGCTCAGCGAGCACTGCGATACTGTTGAACTATTGTTGTGCAGAATGTTAAGTTCCTTCTTACGGGGACGAGGGCTACAGCGGGGGGTTACACTGTAGGTTCGTGGGCAGAATGAAAAAATGAGGGAGGCAGATGGAGGGACGGAGACGGATATCGGGCTAATGAGAAACGTGCGGAGGAAGGAAAAGAAGTAAGGAAATAGGGAGGGAAGGGTTAAAAGAGGGGAACAGCACCCATTTTATGTTGAAGTCAGGGCTGTGTAGGTGTCCCCTGTTTTTCCAGCCTTTGCACCACTCTGAAATATTTACCTGTGTATAGTGCTGCAGAGGTGGATCGCACATGGTTGAGGGTTAAATGTCTTTTTACATGGTAAGGAAACTGGACTTTTTTGTGGATTTGCCATTCATTTATGCAAAGTACTGCATGTAAGTTAAATGAGTAGCCATGTTATCTGTCACGCCGCTTGTATAGACAGTCCGAGGGTGTGCTGTCCATGTATTGTGCCAGAGCTGAAGAAAAGATGGGAGTAGGTGTGTGAGTTACGCGCATGACTGGATTACAATAGATTATAATGTCGTGCATTCTTTCCCTCATTCTCAAGTTTTATGCCCCTTACGGCTATGTGTAAGTGCGTGCGCGAGCTCACTTGTCAGCACAGGAGTGATGATTACAAGCTGTTAAAGTATTCTGCTTTGCCTGCTCTCGCTGAATTTCACTTTAACATTGCATCCATTTACCCATTCATCCATCACATTCAAGCGACAGAGTGAGAGGTAGACTAATAAAACTAGCAGCCATTTTATTCCCAGTTGTTTTTTTACCTGTCAGAAACAGAAAGACAAAGTTGAGCCTCGTTGCCGATTCATCAATGCTATGACCGCAGAGTCATTATTATTATTTAGCATCTATCTTTTTTCAAAATGGTTCACTTGCCATCATCAAAGTGGACTGACTCACTTGGGCATTTCCACTAGGAACAACAGAAGCATTTGTCAGCAAGTACATTTTTTTATTTGCGTTCACCGGCTAGTTTTCCTTCGGAATGTAATCAAAATGCTAATTGAAAGGAAGGCGACTCTTCCTTGGGTGCTGCAGCTACGGGCACTAGCTGGCATGCTGGCAGCCGTAGTGTAGCATGGGTGTAGAGGCCTGTATCACAGGTAGAGTGGTGACGTAAGAAGACAAACGTAGGGGTGTGAGAGAAAGCGTGTGCAGCATTTAATTTGTAGATACAGACACAACTTAGTTTGGAAGAGGTGGACGCACAATGTGAATGACAAGGACCAGTGAGAGAGCGGGTGACAAAGTGGAATATTCATTAGTATTGGAGGTATTAGATGAGTGTGCATCCATGAAGCCTCCTGATGCGAACCAGTGGGGGACCTGCTCTAGAGACAGGCCATCATTTTACAAAAATACACACAGATACACACAAATGCGCAGTGGCTCTATTACCCCGAGGCAGAACACCACAAGCTCGAAGGTTACACATCAATGCTAATAGGGCGGGGTGTATGAGGAATTTATTAGCTACAGTGCACTGACCATGTGCTCGGGATTTAAATGTAACTGAAGATCAAAGACCTGAGACACGAACAGATGGGTGTACGAGTATGTAGCATGTAAGGTTTTTGAAGGAACAATAAAAGTGATTTGCAGACACAGAGGAAAAATATGTGGATGATAAGTTCACAAATACAGAACTAGAGCTACACAGACAATAAAGAAACACTGCTTCATCAGTTCAGTGACAGGTTAGCATGCGCTTCTGCACGACTGGTTCTGTGTGTTTGTGTTTGATTGCGTGTGTGCATCAGAGGGCCGACTGACACGTGTACAGATGGAGAGTGACATTGTTAAGTAGAGCCTCATTAGAGACCAAGCAAATACATAAAGCGAGAGGGGTGAAGTGGTTCGGACAGAGGAACAGCTGCCTCTTAATCTTCTTTCCAGTTGTCTTTACACAAACATCCGCTCTGACGGATTTAATGTGAATGTTTGCGTTGCATTATTTACTGTTGACTAGACCTTTAACTGTTCCTGGTGTTATCATGATCATAGCGGGGTTTAAACTTAGTCTTACACTATTACCAGATCCACAGATATTTTGCCTTTGTAACTATATTTAATTACAGATATTAATAATATTGATAGCAAAAAAAATAAACTTCTTCTTCTTTTTATTTTCAAACTTATATGTTTTCATATTTCAACTCGGTGAAATAATTTGCTTCTATACTGAAAGTTGCCTCTTATTACAAAGCTGACAAACTGAGGCAGAACACTCGGACCTCTGATGTTTGTCACAGAATAACAAAATCCCCCCAAAACAGCCTCCTTTGACTTCCTTTAAACTCCTCTCCTGGGTCAGTGCTGATTTGCTGTTTGCTTTTAAGAGGATTTATCAAAACTAGCAGCTTGTAATTTATACTGAAGATAAAAAATTGACTTTTAGGTTTAAGTGAAAAATTTGTATTTCCCTGGTTATGCATTGCTTGTCAACACTAATTTGTCACTAAGTTTCGTAAAGTTTACTTTAGACAAGGACAAATGCAAAATAAGCAGAAGGCCTATGGCGGTCTTCTGTTTGTCGTGTTAAGAGAGCACAGTTATGGCTGTGCTGCTGTTACTGTTGTTGATTCAGTTTTTACAGGCAGAGGTTTTTCACATCCACAATAATTAGATGAAATGTCAAATGTGTGCGTTGCGTGGTGTTGTTTATATACAGTATGTAGGTGTTACTGTGTCTCATACTGTGTGTGCCGCCTCTCTAGCTGTAGGTGTAAATGACCAGACCCATTCAGGCACATTAAAAAGGATTTATCAAAGCTGAGACACGTAGAGAGAAGTCAGCAAGGATAATGGCAACTTTAGTGCAGCGAGTCCAATAAAAACATCCTATAGAGAGTTTTCTCAGGAGACTTTTAGATAGATGTGATAGTGATGTGTGAACCAGAGAAAAGGAGTTTAACTATGTATGCATCTGTGCAGATTCTGCAGGAATTAATATTCCTGATTAAAATCTGATAGTTAAATATTTTAAGAAGGTGATGACCAAACAGGTCGTACACCTGAAAAGATACAATTACCATCCCCTACACAAACACAAAAAAATGAAATCAGAATTACCCCAGACAAAATATTTATTATCCCTTGAGACTAACACATCCCATTTATGTATAAATATGTAGCTGGCTGACATTTCAAAAGTAAAGATTTGATTTGCATGTGACATAACAGTACTAAGATGCCAGGATATTTGGGTTTGCGCTTACTTTGAGCCAAGAGCTTGTGCCACTGCTGCAGCGTATTTTGCGTGACGACATTATGCAATCTATCAGCTTTTTGGTGGTACATCGAAAAATATTTTGTTGTCTTTAAATGTCTTTTCCACTTTTCTTTAAACAAAAGCTGGATGGAAGCAGTTAATGAGCCAAAAGCCTGTTTGAATAAGAAGCTGCTGTAACAATCTCTGTCCCAATTAGCACGCTTTGGTTTTTAAATATTCCTTTTGTGCGAAGCCTAAACACACATGAAGACTCACAAAACGGTCACGTTGAAAATTTAATAGGCTTCCACAGTGATTTCCTTCATTTATTTAAAATGTTTTTTTTCCCTCTCCTTTTTAAAAAAGCTAGAAATTTGAGAGGCATGGTGAGGCATTCTGCTGTGAGGGGAACAGCATTCACAAATACTAGACCTAATTCCTTTGGCAGCAGCTCAAACTGCTACAGACAGACACATAATCAGCTGGGGAGTGTTAGCGCCTCAGCCCACTAGCAAACACAGGACCGAGCCCTTGTTGTGCATCGCTGCTTTTCAGAATAAATATCCCGATGGAAAATACAGTGGGAGGAAAGAGGTATTCATGTGTATATGGCTCTTTGTTCAGTCAAAAATACAGAAAGAGAGAGGAACACTGGCTTTCCTAGCTACTTTACTGCTCGTTCTACTCGATCCACTCTCTCCCTCATCTTCTCTATGTCCCTCGCCCCTCCTTCTCTTTCTCTCATCCTCCACTGTACCCTGTGTGTTTTGGTATTCATACAGATGTTTGGATTTGACTGGCAGTTTCTCATGAGACTGTGCACAAGCGGCTGACTCGTCTCATCTGCATTTTGCATCCCAGGAAAAAAGGGAACAGAAAGCAGTGGAAAGCGTCAGCAGGCAGACGGGCTGTGTGAATGTGTAAGAGTGAGGGCGTGTGTGTGTACACGTTGCATGTTTTTTTTCCTATTTTTTGGCTTTGGCAGCTTAACTGGCCCCAGTGCTGTAGCCGTGTGATGTTTAAAGGACGTTTCAAGGTCATGCTTTCGACAGGCCTCACCGCCTCTGACATATTAAACATTTATATATTTCTGTAGCCAGATGAATTATAGATTGAACATGCAACTGAACATGCTACAAAATGGCACCATTGTTGCTGGTAATAGACACATTAAGGCCTACAAAAACAGAATCCCACACAGCGTCATTTAGAGTTATCTTCAGTAGCAATGCGAACACAAGGAGGAAAAAGACCAGTGTTGCCATATGGAATAAACCAAGACACCAGGAAATCTCATAAACTCATAAAGCTATGGGCCACTGTGTATGCTAAAACTAACACACGAAACTACAGCATCTTCTCATATATATATATATATATATATATACATACATACAATAAACACAGGAAGAAGAGGTTGATAAAAAGGCTATTTTCCCCGAGATCAACCATACTTACCCAGCATAGGTTCAGCAGTGCGAGCTAACTACGCAGATCTGGGATGGCATCTCTGATAATAGATTTGTTTGTCCCGAAAGGAATACGGATGATTACAGTAAACGCATTTTCCCTTAACAATTGAGAGGAAT